CTACGTCTACACTGGCATGATCTTGCACAAAAACTCTTTAGTGCAGGAGTTCTTGCGTTAAAGTAGTTGTGCAAGAGAGCGTCTACACTGGCATGTGCTTTTGCGCAAGAGTATCCTTGCCAGTGTAGACGCTCTTGCACAAGAAAGCTCTGATGGCCATTTTAACCATAGGGCTTTCTTGCGCAAGAAATTCACGTTGCCTGTCTACACTGGCCTCTTGCGCAAGAACAGTTATGCAAGAGGGCTTATTCCTGAGCGGGAGCGTCAGAGTTCTGGCGCAAGAAGCCCTGATTTCATACATTAGAACGTCGGTTTACTTGCACAAGGACACGCAGCCAGTGTAGACAGGCAGCAAGTTTTTGCGCAAGATCGCACCAGTGTAGACACAGCCAGAGCGTTTAGGCTTGGTCATAGAGCTCAGAACAGACAGACTCAGTTCATACTGCAGCTAGCATGCACAGAGACCTGAGTACAGCCACTATGTGCTATAGAAAAGCACAAGGGGTCGGAGGACCACTTGAGGGTGGGGCAGGGCTGGAGCCAGGGTAAACCCCCACAGGGAACAGAATGTTTCAGCCCCAGGCACCAGTTCTGTGCCAGATAGGGGCCACTGCCCCTATCTGGGTCTCTATGCTGTTCCTGTTTCACCACCCCTAACTTTGGCCCCAGTACAGGCCCCCCGTTCCATATGTGTCATCCTTGATCTGGGGATTATAGTGGATGAGAAGCTGGATATGAGTCAGCAGAGACAACAGTGCGCCCTTGTAGCCAAGAAGGCTAACGGCATATTCGGGTGCATTAGGAGGAGCATTGTCAGCAGACCTAGAGAAGTGATTAGTTCCCTTTTATTCAGAACTGGTGAGGCCACATCTGAATTATTGCATCCAGTTCTGGGCCCCCCCACTATAGAAAAGAGGTGAATGCATTGGAGAAGGTCCAACAGAGGGTGACCAAAACAGTTAGGGGCCTGGAGCACATGACCTATGAAGAGAATCTGAGGGACTTGGGTCTGTTTAGTCTGCAGAAGAGAAGAGTGAGGGGGGATTTGATCGCAGCCTTCAACTTCCTGAAGGGAGGCTCCAAAGAGGATGGAGAGAGGCTGTTCTCAGTGGTGACAGCTCGCAGACCAAGGAGCAATGGTCTCAAGTTACAGTGGGGGGAAGCCTAGGTTGGATATTAGGAAAAAACTATTTCACTAGGAGGTGGTGAAGCACTGCAATGGGTTATCTAGGGAGGTGGTGGAATCTCCACGCCTAGAGGTTTTTAAGTCTTGGCTTGACAAAGCCCTGGCTGGGTTGATTTAGTTGGGATTGGTCCTGCCTTGGGCAGGGGGCTGGACTTGATGACCTCCTGAGGTCTCTTCCACCCCTATGATTCTAGCCCTAGCCACTCAAATCTGGGAGGAATGCAGACAGACAAAGGTGTGGCATGACCCTACTTGTCACCACACAGCACTGAGCTGGGCTGGGTTATTCGTACCAGTTTGCCTCAAAACATGGCATAGACATGGGGAGCTCAGAATCCATATGTGCAAGACTTCTGGCACAAAAGATCAGCAACCTCTGAGATTTGCTGCCATGGAAGTTTTTCTTGCAGCTGGGAGTTGTGCCTAACTCAACTTGAAGCCCATGCCTGGAGTTACTCCAGGTCAGCCCTTTTCTAAAAGAAGGCTCATTGAACCACTGAGCTATGGGGGGAAAGATTGATCCTGACAGTCACCAAAGCTGTAGACACATCCTGTTGGGATGGGCCCATCTAGCTGAGAATGGGCAGCTTCAGTGCACCCCCCCTAGACCCTCAAGGCTGATATATGGATCACCAGCCCTTGCTGACTTTGTGCCACAGATCCACATGGTTGAGACTGGGGAAAGGTCACAGGCACATAGCAGAGAACAGACACAGAGCTCTACGACTGATGCACAGCGCTGAGAACAGGCAGGCTCAATGCACAGCTCAGACTCAGAGAAGTCTGGATGTGGACCTCAGAATGGGCGTATGTGCTGCATGCCACAGACATGTTTAATTGAATGGAAGTTGGTATTCTAGGCACAATTAAGTGTAAAGGATGGATTAGCAGCAAACCCAAGACACAGATTTCTAAAATAGATGGGGATTTTAATATAGTGGCAAGTAACTTGCAAGCACCTTCTGCTCACCAGTTACTGCTCAGAAATAGGGTGACAATGTATCTAAGCTGAATTTGGGGCAGCTGGTAAAATTGCTCATATTCAAGCGAGTTCAGTGGCAATCAGAAGATGCAGGACAAAAATCACAAAGGTCTCAGACACACACACCCCTCTCTCTCACCCTTAGTAGGTATCTGACTAATCCAACCCTGCCTGCTCTGTGCTCTCCATGCCTAGCTGGGCCCCCAGGTCAGACCCACCTTTCCTAAAAGAATCAATGGATTTTGAACTTTGGAAAATAAGACTATCTAGAGCTGAATAAAGGGGATGATTTACAGAGAAATCCACTGTGTATTAGACCTCTTGGAGTACATTATGGTATACTGCATGCTAATTTTTCATTCATGTATTCTCTGTCAATACAAATCTGCAACCAAGAACTGAAGACAAATTTTAAGCCAATTTATTCATGGTATTTCAATATCAATGTGTTTCTCAAGTAAGAAATCTCTCAACAGAAAAAAAAAAAGTCAACTTCTAGTCACACAATTTATTTTAACAGGTTTTCAAGTTTCTTACAATTAATGTAAGCTATTTTGGTAGAAAATTAACAATGGTGTTGAGGTAAAATATTTGCAACAGTAATCTTACTCAAAAATAAATTAGTCATTTACTCACTGAAACTGCAATTGGAACAGCATCATCTCAAAACAGGTTCGGTATGTCAGAAAACTGCAGAATCAATACTTTAGGCAAAAGAAAAAACCCACACCCACAAAAATACCTAAAACCAAAAAACACAAATAGCCAGATACAGCAATATACAAAAGCAACACAATTAAATTAATGATTTCAGGTTCATTAATTTAGGTTTCCAATTTCAGCCTTAAATCTGGAGAAAATAAGCACTTGGGAAGTAATTTTGGCAAGTAACTATCCACAAACTCCATTTTCAAGGGTATGCACCCACCCCTTAATTTGTGTTTTTCTGTAGGAGTTATTAGCACTATATTGCTTCCTGGAGTTTGGCCTAGTCTACATGGAGAGTTAGGTCACTATAGCTGCATGGCCTAGGGATATGAACAATTCGCCTCTCTAATGTGAGGTAGCCATTCTGACCTAACCCCCAGTGTAGATACAGCTAGGTCAACAGAAGCACACTTCCATCAACCAAGATACCATCATCTGGTAAGGTGCTGTTTCTATACCAAAACAAAGACTCCTAGTGGAGCAGGCTTCATCTACAGTACAGAATAAATAGGGCTTCACTACAGCATGTAGCTATGTCAATGTAGTCTCTCTAGTGTAGACATGAGATTGTAGAGAGTAAGTCATGAACGGTATGAAGCTTGACAATTGTGTACAGCTGGAGCTTTGTTGTTTTCCATTATTTACTGATGAGACTCTTTCTTCTACAAATATGTCTGAATACACACTGAAAACCAGAAACCGTCATCGCTACATCTATCCAAAATACTAGGTATTTGCAGTAGTGATTGTGGACAAAGTACATTCAAGTGACATAAGGACTGAGTACATAGTTCTTAGGAATGAAGGGAGGTTATATATTTCCACCAATGCACAGGACTCCCATTAATTATTATTATACAAGTACTAATGGGAAAAATATACTCCTCAGTGATCATTCAAAACAGATGTTCTCAGATTTTATTGCACTTGATAATAAAAAGACAGTTTATATATTAAATACCTGAACATCTATGCAGCTCCAATACTTCATATTCTCTACTAGAGATGCTAAAATGTGTTTAAGTAATCGTGCAACTGCTGAAATTTTCAGCAGTTACATGTGTTTAAAGTACGCAATCATTTTAAAATCCCTAATAGCTAGCTTGATCCAGAGCAGTGCCTGGAAGCTACCCACTAGACAACTGGTATCTCCTCCCTCCCTGTGCCACTACCTCTGATACAGAGGCAGCAGCATGGGGAGAGCCTGCGTGTAACCTTGCATGTTAATGGTTATACTTTCGTATCCCTAGTGTCTATTAGCTCCTCCTTCACAGTTTATGGAAGAAAAAGCTTTAAGAAAGAATGACTGCTTTTGTGTATATATATTATATATAAACCATGGAGAGATCTTCTGAACACAAAAGCATTCCCTTTAGCTCCTTGTGCACCTATAAAATATCCCTGTCATTTATTTTGAAAATTCACACGTTGACCTTCCTCCTTAGTGTCACTAACATTAGCATCACCTTGCCTGTCCTACCAAATAAACTTTTAAACAATTTATGTTGATACTGTCAGATTGTCACTGCAATCTAAGATGATCCTAGGATAACTGAAAAGAGCCTGTTTAGATATAGAAGATCTTAACATTTAATGGACTGAAGACAATTTTTAAGTTTGTGCTTAGACTGTAAGTGCCTATCTAGTTTTGGTAACCCAAGTTTGTATATACTAAAGCCTGGATTTGAGCTTGCAAACATCACATTTCATTGTTAAGTAATAACATGGTCTCGCAAATTTTGAAGCTCCATCTGGTCCCTAAGATGCACTAAATGTTATCAAAAAAGCAGAAAGTGATCAGGGAGAACAACTCATTTTAGCAGACCCTGTTTACATAAATAGCAATAGCTGCATCTCTCTCAAGTTCTGTACATTGCATTATCCACGTACCCTAAACAGGGATGAAAAAAGATCAAATGCAGTACTGGTCAACCAGGGTCAATAGTACATCCCTTTAACTGTTAGGGCTATCAGCTGTTAAGGACTAAGGCTCTCCTGTGGGCAGAGTGCCTATGTAAAATCTGGCTTTCAGAACAATGCAAATGTAGAAAAGTGGCCTTACTCCCCTTCCAAGAAAGACCATTACAGGATTCAAGGTCTTAAATAGTTCTTAATGCAAGTGTGCAGGAGACAAATCACATTTAATGTTTTGATCAATATTTAAAAACAATCTGCAGACATTACCAGCAGATATTAAAGCGTCTGGTACAGTTTATAACTGAGTTAGTGTTAAAAACAATCCATACCAACAGAGTTTTTTCAGTCCGACAGTGATATAACAAAAATGCTTTTAGCAACCACACAAATATAACTAATTCAAAGCAGCTAGGAAATAATTTAACTTTTATGACTTACTATAGTGCATTATAACAATGTACCAACAATTAGAAGGTTACAATGTCTCTTTATGGCACACTCAAAAATTTAGGACCTCTGGATCTTGAAAAAAAAATGAAATGGGGGGGGGGCAGAGGTCAGGGAGGAAAGAGGAAGGCTTACTTTTTTCATTTCAAGTTAGAAATCCAGTGCTTTGAATGTCTCTCTAGTTAAGACAACAGAGGGGTTTATAAATTAATTAGTCATACAAACAGTGCCATCATATTGGGAGATACTGGATATTCTTCGTATTTAAACCAAACAGGATGTATTCCGGTAATCCATTAAGCAGCCTCATTTGTCCATTCCTTAAACAGAAAGGATTATGCATCAGAAATATAGACTGTACTATAAAACAGCTCTTTATAACAGAGTAAGTCAATCATACAAAAAAACAAACAAAAAAACCCACCATTTTTACTAGCTTTTAGCCTCATTTTTGTCAATTGGCTATAACTAGATTAAAAAACTAGAGAAAAACCTATAACTAGATGTTACACATGACGAATGCTGTTGTAACTTATGTCTGAGAGCTTGGGCTGCATCTCTTGGTGTTTATGTTGGGAGAGGGGAGACGACACATCACATTGATATGCTTTTGACACATGTAGGGAGGAAATTGAATGCTTTTAGCTTCATTTTTTTGAAAATGGGGCTCAAATTTCTACAGTTCAAATCCAAATTTAGCCAGTTTGCATAGATTTTTTCCAATTCAGTGGTAGGTGCTATGATATCCATCTATAACGAGTTTGCAATTTCACAGTCATCTCTGTTGTTGGATGCAGTAGCCTCCATAACACCCAACAATTTAATAGATAAAAGGTGGGGAAGAACATCCCATCCACATTCAATAGCACAGGAATTCAGGTATGCAGAATTATAGGACTTGTTTTGGAATGTCATCTCATCAGCAGGGCTGATGCCACCCTTTCTCGGATCTTAACTAGATGCAGCTAACCTCTGTTAGCAATATGGACAGCACAATACACTATGCAAAGACATTGTTCCCACTGTTTGGAAAGAATGCCAATTTTCACGAAAGTAAGAAAAAAATCACTACAAGAAATTAGTGCAATTTCAAACAGCACTCAAGAGGTTTTTGTTTTTTTAAAGTTTTCTCACTTAATGTGTGATCTCAGAGGCTATGTCTACACAGCAACATTATTTTGAAATAACATAGTCCACGTCTACACAGCTGGCAGTTATTTCAACATAATGTTGAAATACTGCCAAGCTGGAGGACTTCTTACTCCTACTCCTGTAATCCTCATTGTACGAGGAGTAAGGGAAGTCCAAGGAAGAGTGCTCTATTTCGAAATAAGTGCTATGTAGACTAAGGATGTTAAAATGCGGTTAATTGACTAGTCGATGGACTTTCCATCAACTAGACCAGGGGTTCCCAACCTTTTTCGGTCCCCATACTCCCTTGGCTTTTAGTAAACCTTCCCATACCCCCTATTCAATATGAAAGGAGATCAATTCTAGACTCTAGAATCCACAACTTTTTTCACTAATACTACTACTTTTGGAATATTTCAATTAGGATAATCTAGTTATTTACCAAATATTCCCCGTACACCCTTGTGTACCACAGGTTGGGAACTCCTGGACTAGATGATAGGCACTTCTGCATTCCTCCTTTTGTACATTTCAAAAGAGAGGAATGTGTAACTTTGTGTGCAGCCCAGGGCCAGCCGGAAGTTCCGCTGACTCCAGCCTGCACACGGGTGCCTGCTTTGGACTCTTGGGCATTTCAAAGCCATGGAACCCGGGGTCAGCTGGGGAGTCCCCAACTGACCCTGGGTTCACAAGAGCTGCCCCTTTGAAATGCCAGGAGGCGGTGTTTTAAAGGGACAGCTACCACACAGCTAGTCTCCAGCTGACCCCGGGTTCTGGGGAAATGCTGCGTGGATCCCGGGGTCAGCTGGGGAATCCTCATCTGACCCCAGACTACTAACGGTACACAGCCCAGGGTCAGTGGGGGACTCTGAGGGGAAAAGTAATATTAACTTGCTTTCTAACGTTCAAGTTTCATATTGTTGTAGGTGTCCCACATGGGGTCAGGAATCAGTACTGCAAATAAAACTAGAGTTTTCTTATTTAGCTTGTTCAATGTAACTAAATTGTACAAATTTGTTTTACAAAGTACTGCCTTGTACCTTGGGTTTTCCAGCTAGGGCCCTCTTCATGTAAGTGTAGCTCACTTTCAGATATGTTAGTTATGTCAGATGAGTTAGTGAATCAAAAGCCAGCCACTTAATTTATTGATTAACCATAAACCTTTCTGACAAGTGCAGGCCACATGGAGTCTTCACAGACCATAAAGTCTTTAAAGACCATGCAAGAAAAAGTAGCATTGAACAGCATGATAAACAGACTGAACAGAAACAAATTATTTTCATATTATTAGAACAGTGTTCCAGAGTTAAGAGTTTGGATCAGCATTGCATAAAGACTGTTTCAGAAATTTATGGTCAATGTGTTCTTAAGTATCTGCTTCAGGCTGAAAACTTGCCTTTTGTACATTTTAAAACTGAAAGCTTAAAATAAGTCACATGGGTCTCTACAGTGTAAGAAAGCAAGAACATTTATATAAAATAAGACAACATTTTTAAATATTCAAAGAATATTTTTAAAACCTTGTTTATCTACAATTAACTTCATTTTTAACAAAATATCAACTGTTACTGAAAATAAATATTTACTGCACATGCACACAATTCTTCCCATTTAAAAATATAAGTAATTTTTATGAATAAGCCTACTAATCTCTTTTCCTCTTTATATGTATAAATCTAGTTCAATATATTGGAGGATGTACTGTGTCAGGAAGAGAAATAGTGAAAGTGAGCAAAATAGTGAAGCTATTTACTTTGCTCAGTCTGTTCAAACAGACCAATAGCTCCAAATTGATCAAAACAGAACTCCTATACCTCTTTCAAGGAGAGCTGAAAATACATTTGCATTTTCATGACTACACTGAGGGTCTGTCTTAAAGTTTAAATGAAAAGAAGTACAGGATACAGGCTAAAACTCTTACTTTAACTACAGAGAATACGATCCTTTGTCAGCATGCTCCAAAGGGTATATCTTGTATTAGGGTTGTAAAATCCCTATCAATCAGTTAACCGGCCAAAGCAGGATTCAGGTTGGGAACCAGTGTTCCCTCTAAACTGTGTAACAGCATCATTTCATGAGGGAATGCTGCTAGGGGCTGCTCCAGCCTGGCTGAAGCAACCTCCAGCTGGCAGAACTCCCAGCACCCACGCTGGGGCTGCCACTGGCTCCCAAACCCTCTCCAGAGCAGCTCCAGCCTGTGGGGAGCTCGGGTCCACCATGGACAGGGGCTGCAGACAACTTCTGTCTGTTGTGGGCCCCCTGTGGGGCTGGAGCAGCCCAATGCTGGAGATAGGCAGGGAGCTGCCCTATCCTGTATACAGGATGTAAAAACCAGAAAAAGCTAAGCTCCAAGTCTAATATTTTAATGCAAAACTGCTTCATAAGCTTTTACAGAGAATTTGTGTGTGTCACAATAGGATGAATTCCAGCATTCATCTGAATTTTCTTAATTGTAAGTTTAAATCCCCACTCTTAACTTCTCTGTGTGCATGAACAACAAAGAATATTAAAAACTATGTTGAACACAAATGGAAGATTAGTACTTTTAAACTAGAGACCTTTTAGAATTATCTAGTTCAAATAACTAACCTGAGATGTACTTTGCTCCGATTAACATTACCATGCTACTCACTATATAAAAACCCAAAGGCAGACTACAGAAGATACTAGAGTCACCTGATGTCATCCAGCAGAAGGAGTTTCCAGTCAAGCAAATCAAAAGAGAAACATACATCAATTGCAATATTTGTGTTAAGAATCACATGAACAGCAAAAGTTACAAAAAATAAAATAAAATAAAAATAAAAGAGTAGTAACACCCGAAAAAAATATTAAAAATTGTACATGCACACCATAAAAATGAAAGGTAAGCCCAAGCCATATACATTTGAGTCTGGATCCAGAGTCCTCTAGCTTTCAAAGTTATTAGGGAGAGCCCATTTCCAATATTATTCAGCATAAAGAGACAAGCAGAAAGCAAGTAGCAACACTTCCAAAAAACAGAGTGCAGACAAATACCAAAGATTGTCCCTATGATAACTGGAGATCATTGTAAGCAGATTTTTGTAAATAGAATCATAAGACTGGAAGGGACCCAGAGAGGTCATCAAGTCCAGTCCCCTTCCACTCCTGACAGGATCAAGCACCTTCTAGACCATCCGAGATTTTTAAGAGCAGATTAGACAATCTCCAGTCACCTTTGATAGAGATTCCCCAGCCTCCCAGAATAGTTATATTCTGCTTATCACTTCAGGTGAAAAGGGAATTAAGCATATTTTTCAAGGGCTGGCAGAACTTTTAATTCTATTAATGGGGAAATCACGCTATATACATACGCCATTCTCTGGCTAGTGGGGATGTTAGTGTACATAACACTAGAGTGTCCCCTGTAAGGCATCCCAGTCACAGCTAATAATTTAGTGAGAAACAAAATCTTGATACAAAAGTTCTATTTGCTTTTCTAGGGATTCCAGATAAATCTGTACAGTAGAGTCCCAATTATCTGACCTAAATGGGACCGATAAGTGGTCGGTTAATGAAAATGTCGGATACTACCAAGCATGAGTTGCGCCTGTAGTTGATTCGGATGGCCTGACCCTTCCCTCCCTGCAGACCCCGCACGCGGTTTGGGAGAATGGCTCCACTCGCTGCCATGTTGCTCTGGGGCCTTCAGGGAGGGAAGGGGCCAGGCAGGAATGGGGACCGAGCGGCGCTGGCAGGAGTCTCGGACCCGCGGGCCGGACTCTCAATCGCCTGCCATGCACTGCAATTCAAGGTACGTCAGCAACTGGGGAAGGAGAAACGGGTCCGGTCAGGTGGTAAGCAGCCGGGGGAAGCACGGGGTTTTAGTTTTGCTTTCAGGGGCTACTGCTGGAGCCTCTTCAGCCAGGGAGCCTGCATGAGGCATGGCACTCCAGGGTTTATCCGGCTATGTCGGATAAAGCGGAAGGTTGGATAATCCAGACTTTACAGTACTTGCACCTAAGACATGAAATGAGGTATGTTTGTCATTTTTTTTTTTAAAAGGATTGGAATAGGCAATGAACTGACTGTATAAATATCCATTGATTTAATAAGATGTCTAATTAATGTACATTTAAACAGTCCCCAGGAACAAAGTAATTCCCTCTTTCAAAATGCTCCCCTGTAAGCTCATTTTCATTTTATTTTGAGTTTGGTTCTTAAATCAATTTTTATAACATCACAACATAATTGTATTTTGTATGCTCTAGAGTAACATATATAGCATTCCGTGTTTTAGTCTCTCTTCCTTCCTCAAATAGGCTTATTATAATCCTAATTTGAGTAATCTAGATCAAACATCAGAAATACTTTCACTGATCTTAGACCTTCCTGACAGGAGTTGAGAATGTCTTTTGCATGAAGCTTGAATTGTTACTTTTGTCTGTCTCTCTCTCTCTCTGAAGGAGTATTGCTCTTTCATGGAGAAAGGACAGTATGCTGCAGTGGACCATTTCTAAAGTTCATTTTGCTTAAAATCAATATCATGCTTATTTTATAGGCCTGAATTTAGGCATATGAGACTATGCTTTAATCAAGGAATGGATATACTCCGAATCAGGCAGCAGCAGCGGGACAGCTTTTGTTTGAACTTGCTAATACCCCAGTGTGAACTGCTACTTTAAAAATGTAGCTACAGGTTCAACCTCTCTAGACCAGCAACCTCAGGACCTGACCAGTGCCAAACCAGAGAATTTTCCAGACTATGGGAGGTCAGTATTGTCTACCAGCATTACCAATTCTTCTGCTGCTTACTGGGCTTTTAGAAAATACTCACGGGTAATTTAGACCTGAACAACAGCACAGAACACTGAGAGCCAGGACTGGTGGCTGTAAACAAATTTTATGGTACCATAGGAAACTTGGCCACATCCATGATAAGTCAACATCCAGCTAACTAAAATCACGCCGGACCAGGGAGTGCTGGATTAGAAGTTCAACCTGTAATGTGTAATTGTTCAGCAATGTTTGTTGCTTTCACTGTATGGTCAGTCCTATGTTATTTTTACTTCGTAATAACTAGTACATGGATTCCTAACCTGTGGTCAAAAATCATTTTCAAGGAGCTGGGACCACCCTCTCTCCTCGCCTCCGACGCACACTGTTTATTTTTTTAAAATAGGGACATTAGGGTCCTGAAGTTCTCTCTTTTGTAGCACGGGGTAATGTTATGGAAGCGTTTAAGAACGACTTCATTAACTGAATGCTATCCCAACATTCAACAGTGTTCGCACTCTTACTGCAGATTTCCTCTGAACTGCATCAATAAAGATGCTACAGTCTGCTCTTGGTTTACGTGCTCAAAATTTGAATATCTTCACAGTGATTTAAACGTTAAAAGTAAATCTTAAAATTACAAAAGTAAATTCAATGTGCTTCCTGTTTTGTTTTACTCCATAACTCTTTTACTGCAAATAATATCTTTTTCTAATTAAACTCAAGAATATGATAATGCCAAAAAGGCTAGAGGTCATTATACTTTCAAATGTACAGGTTTTTAAATGTTAAACACCTTGTTTTACATGGATTTCAGAGCTTTAGGGAAAAATTTTTAAATGTTAAAATGCTGTTTGCTTAGAAGCAGAGCTATACAGGTCACTGTTACCATGTGCTAAAATGTAATAAGTAATTTAGGAACAAGTAGTAAGAGAATTTTTTTCTGTCTTTTACAAGAGAAAAATACATCTCTGTAATAGAAGGTAACTGATGTTTTGAAGGACATTCAAGTTGTGCTAGTCACTGGAGTTTAAAATATAATGGTTTACCATTTGCATCAGGTTCAGATGTCTCCCAGCCCATTGATTTCATTACAGCTTTCTTCCACCTGGCATAGCGATATTCACTTTCTGAAAATCGGAAAGATGAATTAATGTACTTACACTTCAGTTTTTCCACACATTAAATTCACCCTCAAACCTTTGTCCGGCAACGATTTCTCCAAGAACGCACAGCAGTTACTTAAGAACTCATCCCCATTGCAAAAGAATGTCTGGAGTGACAGGCTTTTATTTAAAAACCCTAATGCACAAGTAACTAGTAATTTATCAATTCTTCATAACTCCAGCCATTTACAGCCTAATGCACTTTACTTAGAATCATAGCATAGGATTGGAAGGGACCTCAGTAGTGCTGGGAGGGAGGGGGGAGAAGCAGACAGTGAACGCTCAGGGGGAGGTGACAAAGAGGAGGAGCAGGTATGGAATGGGGGCATGACCTGGGGCTGAGTGGAGGTTGAGCATCCCTGGGGAAAATCAGAAGTCATCTTGTGCATCTGTGAAAGTTTTAAGTCAAAATGGGGGTCTGCAGTTTCTGAAGTTTGAAAATTGGCAAATTTAGACCATCCTTAACAGGTGTGTGACTAGCCTGTTCTTAAAAACCTCCAATGACAGATTCTACAACCTCCCTGAGTAATTTATTCCACCACTTAACTATCGGAGAGTTAAAATGTTTTTCCTAATGTCCAACCTAAATCTCCTTGGCTGCAATTTAAGCCCATTGCTTCTTATCTTATCAATTATTTCCCTAACGATTGAGGACAACAACCTTGTACATACTAGAAGACTAATCATGTTCCCCTCCTCCCCTTCGTCTCTGTCTCCCCCACCCCCGTCTTCTCTTCTACAGTCTAAACATAAGGATGTTAAGAAGCAGGTAACTGACTAATCATGTACTAGGTACAATTTGTATCGAGTACATGATTAGTCAATAAGCTGTGGCTCTGCAGTTTAAATGTAGGAGCTGCCGGGTATGTAGGTCACCTGCTGCATCTCTGCCTTTAAAATATAGTAAGAGCCAGGCAGTTCTTACTATATTTAAAAAGCAGAGATGCAGCGGTCCAGGACCTGGCGGGAGCTGGGACTGCTGAGTCCCGGCTTGTGCTGGGTCCCCTGCTACAGCTCTGCCTCCCCTGGCCCTCCCTCCACGGACTGCAGAGACAATGCTGGGTGGAAACTGGCTTTTAAGCTGGCTCCCCCCCAGCATTGGCTCCTGCTTCCCACTGCCCTTGCAGTCTGAGTCTAAGTTTATCGAGTAATCAACTACTTGAGTAGTCGCTTACATCCCTATCTAACTATCCACTTTTTTAAAAAAAAAAAAAATCTGTCCTCATAGGTCATGCTTTCTAAACTTTTCTTCTTAACTTCCTCTAATTTGTCCACACTTGGGAACAAAGTGAACGGAACTCCAGCTGAGGCCTCATCTGTGCTGAGCAGAGTGGAAAAATTATTTCTCATGCCTTGCTTATAACGCTCCTGGACAATACATCTCAGAATGAGGTTTGCTTTTTTTGAGACAGTATTACATTGAAGACTTATATTTAGTTTAAAATCCACTATAACCTCCAAATCCTTTTCTGCTGTACAAGGCCCTATGCAGTCATTTCCTGTTTTGTGTTCATGCAATTATTCCTTTCTACATGTAGTACTTTGCATTTATCCTTATTGAATTTCACCCTATTTCAGGCCATTTCTCCAGATTATGTCAACATGAATTCTGTTACTGTCCTCAAATGCACTTGCAAGCACTCCCAGCTTGATATCGTCCACAAACTTTGTAATTGCACCCTCTGTCATTAGGTTTAGTATTTATATCTGTGGGAAACAGATGCCAGATACTGTCATTGTGACTCAACTGGACTCGACAGAGGCAGAGTCTGTGATATGAGATATGGGACGTGGAGAAGCAGGCCTTCAAACTCTGCTTTTCCTCTACAAATTCACTAGGCAGATTTATAAGTATAATCCACAATGAAGCAATAGTAGTGAGTTTCAAATCCTTTGACATGATGATACCAGAAGTGGGAACTGATAGACCTTTATGTCTGTTAAAAACACCCAGACTAGAAGGTTGGTTACACATGTTTTTTGCACAAACATTAAAACTTCAACCAAAAAAGGGAGAAATGTTTAAGTCTTGCATATATATTAATTATAATGGCAAGTTTCTGTCTCCAGAAGTACCTAACAACTGATGCAAGATAACGTAATAGTTAGAACAGTGAGCTAATTTTAAAGACCTGCTCTACCTACAAAAAAAGTTCTCTTAAAAATATAAAAAGTTGGCCTCTCCTGCAGCCCTGAAAGCCAAAAAACCATGTGGAATCTTTAGGGTCCACTAGCTTCTTCTGTCAACAATTTTCTAATCCTGGGGAAGGAATAAGAAGGGGAAATGGGTTTTTTATATCAGTTTTTAAATGGTTGAAACTGAAAGTCACCAAATGATGGCACACTAAATGACAAGCATCTATGTAAGCCATTCAATTTAAATTTACACTTATGCTGATGCCGATAGGAAGGGGCTTGGAGGTTTTTCAGATAATTTTTAAATTCAAACTTCAAAATTTCTCTTTTTACCCTCAGGATTGATCTGTGGTTCAAACCGTTCCCATGTCACTGCTGTCAAATCCCCAGGATTCAGACTCCAGACTCCAACTCCTTCTGCAGCTCCAGCTGCCATTGCTGCTCCCAGTGCTGTTGTTTCGGGCATTGATGGCTTTACTAAAGTGAAACAGGAACACAAAAACCATTTTTCTTTATGGGACAGTTTGCAAGGACAGAGATACCTCACAGGGCTATTATATACACCTAGCTTCCCTCAGGCTTAAAATTTGCAAATCTCACTTGTATATAGTTGTCACAATTACTGGCCTAACACATTTAGCTTCTTTGGAGAGCATCCCCCCCTCAAGCTTCTAGCCTTCTCTCACTTTCAGACTTGGCCTGAGGCTGTGGTTCCCACATACTAACTGCGATTATCCCACACAAACCTGATTTAAGCTCAGCACCTCAGTTCTGTGCCCTCCTTGGTAAGAGAGCCACAGTAATTAGTGACCAAATATCCTTCTTAAAGCTAAGTATTGTTTCTGTTCTACATAAATATTTCAGAGAAAACCAGTCTTATAAACAATAGACAAACTATACATATATCAGGCTTAATAGGCATCCATCTATCTTCTGCTTCACTTCTCCCCTGAAGAAGGGAGACACGTCTCCCTCCTGTCTCTGCTCAGTCTTTCCAATCACCTCCCTTCTCAAAGAACAGATCACTAATTGTTTATAGCCTTTCATCTGTTACCACTCAGCAATGGCAAAAACAAGGCTTGCAACTTCAGTGGAGAAAGGATACAGGATCCTCAAAGATATCAAATGTGTGTCAGGGCTTTTTTTTATTAAACCTGGGAGCCATTGTGTTGTCTTCCTGCTTGTTTCTCCAGCAGCTCATATTAAGTCAGCTCAATACATGGCTACAGAAAAGTCTATTAACTCAGTATAGCTATACAGAGGTTAACGTTGGCCAGGTCACATACCATATTAATAAGTTACATATCAGTATACACCATAGCTCCACGTCTGCCACAGCAGTATTACAAAGAGAGTCTGAGAAAGGTGTTTTGTTCTCACTACTGCTAAAGTTCTCCAATCCTGTGAGTTTTCTGGTATAAAACTGCAATAGGCTTTAAACAGCAACCCGCTTAGAGCAACGGTACTCAGCCTCAATCCTGGAAGAGCCTTTTGCCATACAATGGTTTGGCAGGCACAGCTTGATGCCCTTTATTATCACCGGACTTGTGCTGCAAGGACAGCATGGGGCCAGAGCTTCCCAGCACTCACAGCTGTAGTGGGGGAAGAGAGAGGGAAGAATGGCACAGAGTTGCCTCTCCTCCACACTCTGCAAAGAAGGGTTGGCCCAGAAGACAGAGGTTTTACAGGCTGTAGCCCAGGGTGGCCCTTCCTCAGCCTGGGGCCCAGGACTGAAGCCCCTTTCTTAATCCAGCCCTGCTGCTGGGGCCAAAGGAGCACCTCTCTCCCCTGGCCATGACAGCTCCTTGCTAGCTCTGTTGCGGCCAAAAGAGCATGCCACCTCTGGAAGCTGCTATGACTGGGGCATAGGAGTGCTCCCACGGCCCCACCAGGTAGCTGCCATGTCCGGGAGAGAGGGGCCTCTCCCCTGAACATGGAAGCTCTGTGCATGGCAGCCCTGAGCCCCTGCAAGAGGCTCATTAAGCAGCTGTGCAGCTACATAGCTTAGAGGAAGCCCTGCTCTCTATTCACCTGTTCATCACCAGAAATACCCTTTTCTCCCCACATCACTGGGTGAAGACAACAGTGACATTTCTCCTCTCTCTTTTCACGTTCTACACTTTGAGTCACGGAACTTCTATCCTCTTATGTCACATAGAATAGTTAGGAGGTTTTTTGTTTTTCCTATTCATTCTGTTCTCGCAGCAATTGACACCCTGCTGGTGATTCTGTTCAGGGCTCCTCCACATTTATAATCTGAACTGAGCTAAGAAGCCTTGCCTAAATAGAACCTGCATCAAATCTTAGATCTCCACAATGGTGCTCTAACCCTTCACTAACAGGAAGGGCCATGCATCTCTAGAACACTACAATCCTAATGGAGCTGCAGATACTCACCTCCTACAAACTGGACTACAAAGCCTTTTTTTAAAAAAAATCCCCACCTCACTCACAAAACAGTGATGAGAAGGCCAGCAGCAAAAAAGCTAATATTGTATAGTTGAGGTTTGTTCAGGTTTTCAGAGACTTGTTTTGTTCTTAAACAGGCTGAATGGTAAGTCTGCACTCACCTACTGGAATACAGAGAATATCTGCTTGGAGCTGCATGAGAATCTTGTTGTTGGTCATTCCTCCATCGACTTGTAACTCTTTCAGTGGTATCCCACAGTCCTTGTTCATAGCATCCAAAATCTGAAAGAAGAATACTCCATCTTATACATTTCACTGTGCAGCAACACAAGAGCCTCTTTCAATATATTGCTGAAGAGTTCCAAGACAGACAACATTCCTCTGAAGTCCTATCCATCCACAAAACAGAAAGCAGGCAGTGACAATACCAGTTTCTTCCCACGTTTCTCAAACACATTCCAACAGTCTTAAGATACAGGTAATGGGAAAGGCGCTGAAGACTTCTAGAGAGTCCATAAACCATGCTTTAAAGACCTGTGTACATTGGACCTGAATAAAAATAGATCTAACCTCTAGAGGCGAGAAGATGGCTTCATCTTCATACAAAGTTGACCTCGGAGACTCAGACTACCAAATTGAGACCTTTGACTGCCTAGACAGGTTGTTTAGAGGTCTTCCACAGTTCTTTGGGCAAGGAAGAGGAACTGAGATGAAAGAGGATCATAAGCATTTACTAATGCAGTTCATAAAAAGAATGAACTTGTAATGCTACGATTTATTGTAGAGGTAAAAATACCTCCAATTTCAAATGGAATTAAAGCCCAAAGATTTTTTTGTGGAAAAAAAAAAAATCAAAATAAGAGACAGGGGAAGAGTGTTTCCTTGATCAGTTTTCCTGAATTTTGTGTGAGCCTTCACACAGAAAGAAAATAAAACGAGGAGATTCAATTTAATATTTAGAACGGTCAAACAGATACACCCAGTGAGGAACTCTATACTGTCTACTAGCAACTCCCCTCACAGCTCTCTTATCACAGGAGGCTCAGTGCAAGATAGCCCAGCCTCAAAAGCAGTCACCAAATACAGTGATTTCAGCCTCTCTTAGGGAGTCTACACCACTGAAGCTCTATGGATCCTGAGGCAAAAGGATCACTGCCTTTCCCCTGGAATATTCCTCAACATGTGCTGATTACAGCCGTACTTACAGGCTGCACCTCTCTTAACCGGGACTCTCTGGTCCAGCAGGACCACAGCTGTCCCAGGACGAGGGAGTCCTGGTGGAGGGCTGGTGGCTCGGGTGGGGCTAGAGACCAGTAGCAGGGATGCCCTGCAGCAGTGAAACCGGGAGCCCGGTAGTAGGGCTGCCACCCAGTGCCAACACTATGGGGGGGGGGAGGGAGAGCTCGGGAGGTAGCAGGGCTGGAGCCCAAAAGCAAAACTGCCTGGCGAGACTGGGAGGCAGCGGGGTCAGGGGCAGCACAACTAGGAGCCCTGCAGCCCCACTAGTGCCAAGCGGCTCAACCTCCTGGCAGGACTGGGAGGCAGCATGGCTGCCCTGCAGAGCCGGGAGCCTGATCACGGTGCTGCCTGGTGGAGGGGCCAGGAAGAAGGAAGTGAGGCAACCCAGCAGTGCAGCTTAAAGCCTGGCAGCCCCACTGGTGCCCAGCAGAGGTGCCTGGTGAGACCAGGAAGCAGCAGGGCCGCCCAGTAAGGCTGAAGCCCAAGCGGGGCTATTGCCCGGTGGTGCAACTAGACCCCAACAGGGGGGCTGCCCCGGCAGAGATGGAGCCCAGCAGTGGACTGAGAGTGCCAGTGGCAGGGCTGCCATGGTGGGGCCAGGAGCCTGCGTGTGGAGGGGCTGGTGGCAAGGGGAAGCTGTCTGGCAGGCTAGCAGTGAGGCCATGGCTGGGGGTGCCAGTGACGGGCCTAGAAATGACCTTCCCTGGTCCCTCATCCAGGACCAGTCAGGTCCTGAGGGTGCCAGACTAAAGAGATCCAGCCTGTAGTAACTATATCAGGGCAGGGATTGTCTTTTACTTTTTTTTTTTTTTAAATATAGAGCTCAGTACAATGGGTCCCAAATTAGCATGGCACACTACCATCACAAACATTTAATACTACAAGATAAAACGCTTACAGAGGAACAGAATTCTTGAGGTGGAATAAATAAGAGCATATGCACTATGGCCCAGATATGGAACGGTCATGCTCAGCATTGCAACACCTACCTGATTTAAGAGCCTAACTCTCACCATCAATGGGATTTAGGTTCTTTAACACTGAAAGCTTTTTTTTGAAAATGAAATTTAGGCTCTTAAATCAGCTACATGTTGCAACGCTGAGCACAGCCATGCATCAGTGCCTTTACAAGTCTGAGGCTACTAAACTTAACTAGATCTTCTGATCAGTTTGTAGGAAAATTTAAAAAAATACCTCAATTCATTATTGTTTGCCATCAAACTCAAAAAACAAGAAAACCCCAGAAGTTAGGAGCAAGTTTGCCTTTACCTCTCGTGTTTGAAAGCAGACAGCCTCTAATGCAGCGTAGGCAATGTGGTTTTTATTTGTAAATTGAGTAAGGCCACAGATAATACTGTTAAAACAAAACAGATAACAAGCAACTAGGATCATTAATGTTGATCAGATTATGTTTCAGTCTTACAACTGAGATATTCAGGCATATTTGTATTGTATTGTGGATAGCTACTGTGGTTTTAAAGTTAAAGCACCTGAAATATATTAAAAAAAACAACCTCATGATAATGTTTTAAAAATTCTCATTGAATATTTATCTTTTGTATTTTAATACTAAAGATGTCTTTGTTGTACACAAAGAACATGATTGTTTTTATAACATGGAAACGTCAGTTCATTGCCTCACAGTGAAAAAAAACAAAACAAAAACTAACCAACATTGCATTCTATTAGATTTTTTTAAAGAAGTGTGAGAAACTCCTCATGAAAATCATTTCATGTCTTAAAAGAACCTCCATTTTCCACCCTATGCTATATATCTGTTATTTCATTTCCCATGTAAGAGCTTCACTGGGGACAGGACTACATTTTTGGTATTTAAAATGGTTACCCCATCTGTTTTAAACAAGTAATAGTCAAGAGTTACAAACCCAAAGCTCCTTTTGGTGGAAGTAATGCAGTATTTGCACTTAGATAAATTCAGTTAAGGTACACTGAATAGGATAGCAAGTCAACCTAATTTCTCAAACAGTTCTGCGTGTGAATGGTGCATTAATATACAGTACACAGAAACCCAGTTTGACTTGAGAGCACAAACCAATTTATGAGAGTTTAGAAATTCTCTTAGAATTGATTTTGACATGGGTCCCCCCCCCCCCCCCCCGTATGGCCCCCCCCCCCCCCCCCACACACACACAGAGAGCGCGCCCTGACAAATGAGTATTAATATTTGTGTACAGAATTTTGTTTTGTTAAAATCCTGAAGTGGGCAAGAGGTTCAACAGGACTGCATAGGTGTCGCACTAAATGGGACACGTTTTAATTTTTTTTTTTTTTAATTGGGAGGCCACTTTTAAAAAAAATAGGAAAGAGGAGAAAGGGGAAATGAAAGGAGGGGTAAGCAAACTTAAAAAAAGTATAATGTTTAAATAGTGTTCGTGGTGCTCCCACAGGTCCCATTGCCAAGGCCTATTGAAGTGGGAAAGCTCAGCAGCAGTGAGCAAACATAAGAGACTAAGGCCAGGTCTACACTTAGGAAAAAAGTTAACTTAAGGTACGTCGACTCCAGCTACACCATTCTTGTAGCTGGAGTTGCATATCTTAAGTCGAATTTCTGTAGCATCCCCTTTGTGGGAAGTTAGCAGGCCTTTAGTTCTTGCAACCCCATGGAGTACCAGGGTTGACAGAGGCACTATCAGCATTTGATTTAACGAGTCCTTACTAGACCCGCTAAATTAAATCTCAGAAGATCGATCTCTGGAGTGTCGCTCTCCAAGTAAGTATAGACATGGCTAACGACTTGAATCAGCAACCAGTTAACCATCTATTAGGGATGATCTAGACCAGTGTTTCTGAAAGTGTTCCACAAAATCATTTTGAGAAACACATTAACTGGCCACCCCGGTTTATTTACTGGTGCCACGGCCACGGAGCCTCGCAGCTCCCATTGACTCCGTTTCGCTCTTTACAGCCAAGCAGAACAGCAGGAAGCGGTAGCCCAGCCGACATCACTTCCCGCAGATCCCCTTGGCTGCAAAGGATGAAATGGAGTCAATGGGAGCCATGAGGCTCTGTGGCCGCGGCATCAGTAAATAAACAAGCTGGGGAGGCCAGTTAATGTATTTCTCAAAGTGATTTCATGGAACACTTTCAGAAACACTGGTCTAGATGGTGCTTGGTCCTGCCGTGAGGACAGGGGACTGGACTCGATCTCTTGAGGTCCTTTCCAGTTCTAGTGTTCTATGAAAACTGAAACAAGGATGGGGCACAGAAGCATTACACTAGATCAGCATTTCCCAAACTATGGGCCCAGTACCTGGCATGGGAAAAAAAATACCTTAGGCCGATTCGGGCCCCGCGCCCCTGACCCTGGAAGTGCTGGCAAGTTACAGAGCCAGGGGCTCTGCTCCACCAATATGTGGAGCTGGATCTCTCCCCCGGCTCTGCCTGGAGCGGACCCAGGCCAGGCCCCAGCCCCCCCCGCGTGTCCTCCCACCCCGCTCCCAGAGCATCCCCGCCGTGCACGGCTCCTCCTCACCGTCTGCTGCCGCCCATGTGCGGCGTTGCACGTGGACGGGGGGGATGCCCGGGCATGACATGACGTCACGGCCTGGGATTTTAAAACTCTTCGGAGCCACATGGCGGGGCCACACTGGCTCCAGGTTCGGCCCCCGGGACCTGAGCGCGGTCTCCGGCCCTGCAATGTGGAAGGCAGAAGGTAGGGAAGGGGAATGGGCTTGGGTGGAGGCGGCAGCAGCGGCAGCA